GTGTAGGTCCATCCACTGGAACCTGGTTAACCTACCAAAAGCCCCATCCTTGAAAGAGACTGTCTCTGCCCCTCCCAACAGTCATCAGTTACCAAAAGTTTCTTAGTTGGGGTTGGTGTTTCTTACCCACTTCCCCAGTCTATGTTAGTATTTTTGTCTGGTTTGAGCTTACATGGAACTTGTGTATGCTATCACCATTGCTGTATGTTCATATGAGTAACTGACCAGCTCTCTGGAAAACTGTTTCCTTGTGGTCATCTACCACCCCTGGCTCTTAAAGTATTTCTGCCCACTCTTCTACAATGATCTCTGAGCTTTGGGATGCAGAAGCTTGATACAGGTGTTCTATTCAGAGATAAGCACTCTCTAGCCCCTTGTTCTCTGCACGTTGGCCAGTTGTTAAGCACCATCTGCTGTATAAGGAAACTTCTTTAAGTGAGAGTTTAGAGATGCATTAATCTATGGGCATAACTAGTCATGACGAGTCAGTTTAATATGATATTTAATAGAAGATTAATATTAGGCTCTCCCTCTGTCCTGTGACCTATCTAGACTCAGGTTCCTAAGTCTGCTGTCAGTGTCAGGTATGGGCTCCATCTATGAAGTGGACCTTAATTCCAATTAGAGAGTGGTTGATTACCCCCATACTGTTCACATCACCATTATACCAGTGGGCATATTTTTCCAGGCAAATTGTTGTTGCAGTTCACAGGATTCATAACTGTGCAAGGTTGCTGATTATTTTTCCCTTCTGGTAGCATGCGTCGCATCTTCCAGCACTATGAATATTGGCCAGTAGAGATGAGGTTCTGAAGTCAACACCAGCTTGATTTCTTGTTTGTCCCACAGCTCATGTACCTGGTATCTTCAGCAGTAGGGCCTTACCATCCAGTTCTGGTGGATAACCAAGTCAGCTGTTATTTCCATTCCTGAATTTTAAGAGATCCATCTAGACTTGCTGATAGAGAGGATACTTAGGTTGCCCTTGGCCCTGCTCCCTCCCTCCTGCTTATTTGAGGTCTTGACTTTGTAGTAAGTTGATGTTTGTAGACTGTGGCCTGTTTTAGTAGACTAGAAGAGTTTTGTATAGAGTAGCTATTTCTAATGTCTTGTTCTCTATTGCTTTATATTTGAATTATGTAAGAGCTCCAACCCCCAGAATGCAACACTTTCAAAGATCATCTTGTCACTAAATCTACTTTTCTACAGCTGAAACTGCCAAGGTACAAAGTGCTTCCCTTTCTTTCTATTGTTAAGAAAGAACAGTAGTCACTAATGGTTGTAGTTTGAGATTCTGCTGCTGCCTCAAAAAGCATAATCAGTCAAAACAAAGACTGTCTAGGTTTCTGCACAAGATGACCAAGGGAGATATGCATAGAAAGATGATCTTTCTTTTAAGTTTCACAGTTTGTTTAATGTAAAAACTTTTTAAATGTGTGTATATGTGGTGTGTCTGTCTGTCTGTCTGCCACTGTCTGTCTGCCTGCCTGCCTGTGTCTGTCTAGGCCAAAGGACAAACTCATGTGTCATCTTAGGAATGCCATCTACATCCTTTGAGACAGGGTCTCTCACTGCCCAGAGTTCACCAATTAGTCTAGATGGACTGCCCAGAAAGTTCCAAGGATCCTCCTGTTTCTGCCTCTCCAGCACAGGGATTACAAGCACATAGCATCATACCCAACATTTTTATAAAAGTTCTGGGGATCAAACCCAGTCCTCACACTTATGAGGCAAACTTCTGCTCAACTGAACTATCTCACTAAGCCCTCTAATTGCATTTTTAAATCTAATTTTATTTTCACTATTAGAAGAAATTAATTTTTCCCTGATCCTAGCAAAAGGCTAAAGGTCATATCTTTGTGATTGTGTGCAGCCCTACTTATCTTTCTAGGATATTTTAGTGAAAGTCTGGAGGTACCATACAATGTTACAGCAAGCATTTGAAAACTGTAACATACGAAACAAATGAAGTATTTTTCCATGTTGCAAAATGCTTGCAAATTTTGCTTCCTAAAGTCTGCCTTTTTAAATATTCATTGAAAGTTGAGGTGGGCATCAGTGTTCCTGTAATAGGACCTGTGTCTTATGAAAACTGGGTCATTTTAGTGATGAAATAAAATGTAGATGTATAAATGATGGTAGGAATTCCAATGCCTTCTATAAAATTTTTAGTAGACATAAAGCTACCTGATCATTGCCTACTAACAATAGTCAAAATTGAAACAGCTGTTATAAATCATTTACTAGAGCAGTTATAAATTCAGTTTTCTCCAGAGACCAGAAAAGTAAGGCAAATTCTTGAAGTACACTATAAGTTCACTATAATAGGAGGAGAAAGGGACTAGAATAAAGATTTCTTTTGCTGCCAAATCCTTGCATTTTCACCACAGAATAAATTCACTCTCCATTACAAGGATGGAACTGAGGTCATGGGCTTTACCCCAAATGAGAAGACTCTATGAGCTCAATCAGAACTAGCTGTATCATTTTCAGGGACCATTCCAAAATAAGATGGGGGACTCTTCATTCAACATTTTAGGTTTTCAGTGTGGCGAAGCAAACCATTAGATCGGGCTGAGCCCTGTCCAGTCCAGGGAGCCATCCCAGGTTCTAAGTTCTGGTCTAGAATTTATGCACAAGATGGAAAGAAACACAAAGATGCCCATAGCAGCAAGAAATGTATCGGCAGGGTTTGGGGGGAGGCTGGAGAGATGGCTCAGCTGTTAGGAGGACTGGCTGCTCTTACAGAGGACCCAGGTTTTATTCCCAGCACCCCATGGTGGCTAACAACCATCCATTTCCAGTTCCAGGAGAATCTAATGCCTTCTTCTGACCTCTGTGGGCATTGCATGACACAGGTGTACTTACATGCATGCAGGCAATATACTCACACACATAAATAAAATAAAAATAGTAAATAAAGTATTTTTTTATTTTCAAGTTTTTTTTTTTTAGGAGCTTTTCATCTCTTTCAAAGGTGGCTGTAAATTTTTAGTTTCACAGTTGAATTAATACAGTCATACAATAATGAACTCAGTAAAAGCCCTGTAAGACATAAAATTGGATGAGAATTTAC